AAGCACTAATCAAATATTTTTTTGCTTCTTTAGCTTTTTTTCACTTATTTATCATTTCCTTCAATCTGATTGAAATATTATGTGAGAGAGGGAATAAGAAACTCCTTCGAAGGCAATAATGTTTAAAATTGGTATCATAAAACAAATATGAATAAAGAAATTGAAGGAAAGTTGAAACAAAGACTAAAATATAGCTATATCGTAAAAATAACACATGTAAAGTTAAAAAAATCCAAAACAAAATTAATAAAAAATTGTGTTTGTTTGTCAAAGATGTTGATTAACAAAGGCCAAAACAGAGTACAGTAGCATTTTATTAGAATTAAACAATAGATATTTGAACTTAAAACAATAGAAAACAAAACATATGTTTATGTTAAATAACTGTATTAGGAATTCTTCCTAAAAATGTATCACCGTACTTCACGGGACTAACAAAAAAATGGCACATTGTTACTGTATTGTAATGTAAAGCAGTGAAAAGATGCAAATGCGGGGTGTTTCTGTGCCGCTATGTTTACAAATTTCTTTTAAATGTCCGTTAAGTCGTAAAAAATAAAGGTCGTTTAAATGGGAAACAATATAAATGTCCCGTAAGCAGAATGTATTGCGCAAATTGACCAAGAAGATTTACAACTCCTAAACAATTCACCTGCTTAAGCAGGTAACCGATTATGTTAATACATAACACAATGGACGTTTCAATATTTTGAGGAACTGTGGCCTGAATTGCATTACTACACCTTGTGATAATTTATGGTCCTATTTGTGAAGTTCATTACAAAGTTCGTTTCCGTGTTCTTTATCTAAAAATAACTATCATCCGACAAGAATATTTACAGCCGTTCATTCTCTTTCTATTATCTATTGATATGCTTTTTTGAATTAGCTCAAAAAACATTAGTTTTCTATAAAAAAAATACCATACAATTCTCTGTATTAACATGACTATAACGAGACGTCTGAAGATAAAATCCATCAGACCTTTTAAGATGCAGGATGAACCTTGAAATATACGTACATACATAATATACACTCTAAAAACAAAGAAGCATAACTGGTAGAGGCGGTTGAAAATTATATCGATTAAAAACGCTAATAACATGTCATGCCTAATTATAATCTACACTGTAATAGTCGTAATTAAAAATCTATACAATTTTTTTCACACAAACTCTTTGAAACTATTATCGAAATTATTTACAACATAATTGAATAATTAACACTATTTGTACGCAAAATGAGTTATTGAACAGATGCGGTGAGTTTACGATGGCTAATAGAGTTTATAGCTTTTTTATTGACATTTATGTTCTCTTGACTCCAGCGTTTACGACCGGCTCATTCATTACCGAACCGGGGTCAAAACATCTTTAAATCATATACAAAATATGTATGCGGTGACGTTACATTCACCCGCCGAATATACTATCGCTCTATGAATATATTAATACATCGATAGTTTTATGATTATCGTTCTTTCATATCTTTATGGTTATGTTCTATTTTGACGTTTCTCATAATCGAATTTACAATAATTTTGAAATATTCATATATTTTTTTAAAGAATTAAGTCTTATTTTTTATTCAGTGTAAGTTTTTTTGCATTAAATCTAATTTATTTTTTTGTGTGTTTTAAATAAGTCAGCGTTGTTGTAACAAGCGGTTCTCGATGAGAATACAAACGACGCGTGCACCCACACTACAATTTATGGCCTATTCGATAATTATCCGGATTTAAAGCTGAAGTGCGGTGCTTTACGGGTCGGTTTACGGTTCCTCACGGTGCAGCGATAAGCCAATTTGCGTTTTATTGTACGACCGATTCTAAAACTTATTACGATCTACTCTATATTTACTATATGTACATATGTTTGATTTATCGATTTGTAAAGTAACATCACCTGTTCTGTGGGTTAAACGCCGCTTAATACTTTTTTTTTGTCCAAATTAAAAATTCGTTACAGCATGATCGTCAGCACGTGAGACGAATATCGTATGCAGTTTAAAACAACAGTGCTGTTTTATTAATAGGTTTGTATTTAACATCGGCACCTTAAAGTGCCTCTGTAATTAACTTTAGTCTATACGAATTTTGCGGCACGATTTATTTGTGTTAAACTGGACTAGAATTTCATTTGAAGATATATTTGATTTTTATTATTTTTTTGCAACCATATTAATAGCTATAAATTGTCAGCTACAATGTCAAGTCATAGTATTCTTATCATGACGTTATTATCTGCCCTTTATGACAGTAATATGCACCGAAAACATAAAAACAATAGTTATAATTTGCCGTCGTAAATGGTCATTCGTATTAAATAAACAATAAATATACATGAATTTTAATATATTTCTCTATAGGCAGATGTTCGCAGGGACTTATACGGTAGCAACGACAACCAGCCGCTACACACCCGCGAAACCTTGCTTACAAAAACCAAAAGTATTGTAAGAATCACTCATTAATTTATTAAGATGGTAATTTATTACCGCCGCGACGATTTCTTCACTCTATAAGCATTTTTTATTATTCACTCACACTTTTATTTATTTAGATTTATACTTTTAGTAATTTTTCTTAATTTAATTTCTAGCTACTGGTTTGGAGTTACTTTAATTTTTGATTCCTATTAGTTTAATTACTCAACTGAGCATTTATGCTGTACATATATATTTATATCCATAGAACCTTTTCAAAGTAAGTGCTAAGTGGAGCAAACCTATGAATGGTATAACAGCTCGCTATATTTAACTTAATAATACCAAGTCATTCAAATGTACTGTAAATTTAATAAAGAAAATTACTTTCTTTATAATTTTTGATGAACAAAAAACTTAAATTGCAATGAAGAATCTATACAAATCCTTTAATTTTTTTATATAATTTTATAGTCTCATATATTTTTTGTTAATTTGTCACATTATAATTGACGGTCATCTGTATATCATATAAGTGATGATTAAAATCTATCACAAAAAAAAACGTAATAAGACGAATATGGCGGCGGACATTGGTGGAATTTCAAGTAGACTGCGCCCGCGCATGTACATAATGAAACGAATTTTTCGACATCCAACAATATTTTGGACGAATTATTGTATCTTCATATAACATAGCTTTCATCTTAACAAGCTCGGTCGCGAGTTTTAAGTGTTGGCAGAATTATTGTGTAATTTTTTTTGGTTGTAAAGAAATATATTTTATCTATGACATTACATAATAGGTATTGAGTGAACTTTTTCTTGTTTAATTTACTTTTTCGCATGATAAATTTGTCATTTGGATAATGAACTGTCTATGTTACATTTACTTTGCCACGTTTGATTATATCTTGAATAATTAGGTACCTACATCTTGAATTAATAAAAAATTGCCTTACTTATTATACGGAAATAATAAGAGGATCTGAAATTATTAATTATAGACAAAAAAATATTATATAAGAGTTTAGTGGACTCTTTGTAGGTAACTTGTCATAGAATTTAATATTTTTCATGATACAAATAAATTCTTTTTATAGTAAATTTTAATAAGTATACATAGGTATTGTAAATTACTAGAAAGCTTCACTTTGTATTGCATATTAAAAAGGTGATTTTTAATTAATATGTCTTCCTTTATTGTGTCAATTTCTGTTAAAGAAACAATATTAAGATAATGTTTTATTTCAAATATCTTATATTATATAATAAATACATATAATACAAAATATGAGAACGTTTTTGCTAATGGAAATATGTAAAAATAATGATTCTATTTTAGTAAAATCAATAAAACCAGTATTATATGGATCAATCAAAATAAGTAGATAAGATATCAAATCGTTATGAGAATGTTCAGAAATATTTTATTATAATTTAAATATTGTAGAGTTCACTATAATAAAATTTATCATTTTAACCTCAGAACTAATAATAATTTAATGTACAATTTTAACAAACAAGAAAGTTGAATTTTGTGAAAATTTGTTTTTATGAAAATGATATTTATTAATTGACCCTGTTTTGTAACTAAACATTAACATTTCATCTCTACAAGTCTTTATATGTAGAATAACTCTTAAAGTATATATTATTATATCTTTGTCTACTTTCTACATATAAAATCTTCTCTTATTTATATAAGTATAATTATGACAATAAAACTTTATACAGTATCTCTATCTAGTATGTAAAGAAAATTTTGTCTTCAATCTTATCCTATTGTAATAAGATTCAATTTCGCTCAACGCTCAAGAAAATTTATACATATGGAAACTCTTTTCTCCAACTAGAATGTTTGATACACTACTTTTTGGTTATATTTAAATATATTTACGGTTTATTGGTATCGATATATGTGTTTATAGTTTTCAAAGTTACCTATTCTAAGTAAATTCAATTGTTTTGTGTCATTTTCCTACATTAGAAATTTTTCATTCCAGAGATGAATTTGTTGAGAACATTTGTTAAGATTTATTTATTAGGAAAATGTAATTTTGAATTATTCTTAAGGTGTGTAGTGTGAAACTTAATAAGTGATAAATATTATCTTTGTGCAGCCTATAACGTGAAAATGTATATTATTGAGTTTATAATAATATTTGTTGCAGCTATAGACTTAGGGCTATTTGAAAACGGCGCTTCGTTATAATAAATTCGTACGTTATACGTTAAAATCTGTATCGGGATGTATTTGAACGGTCACAGGGACCTTGAAAAGTTTGTTTTGTAAACAAAACTCGGTTGGAACCCTCTGCTCCCGGTCGTATAAAGTTGGGAGCTATAAATCGTCAATAAACTCACCTTAAGCGTTCCGAACGCCGTTCGCCGTCGGCAAACGTTCTCGCGTCATCCCGCTACTACTATATACTTCTTCACAACACACAGTTCTAAAGAGTTCCGATAGTTTCACTCAGCCGAGTCACGTGTCGGATTGGATCAGATCATGAGGGTAATACTTAATGCGGCACGTGGTAAGCGGTAAGCGGTACTTAGTTAATGTTGAATGGTACTTAGTAGGTGGTAGCTACGTCAGGTGGTGAGCCCGATCGGTCCATGTCGTGTTGTTTATGGCGCGGTGTGTTACGCAACGCGTAGTCGCCAAGGCGCGCGTCAGTAGAATGTGCCGACCGATGCTTTACGAGCGACGCCTCACCCCCCGCTAGGCGACGCCGCACGCCGCGGCGCCGCACTAAATCTGCGACCAACAGAAAAGTACACCCCCAGTTAATCCGACACCATTGATATCCGGAGACAATGTTAATCCGACCGATTAATTGAACTCGGATCCGTTAGCTCCGCTTGTATGTGATGCGATCGTACCGGCTGCCCGCAGCACGGCCGGTCCGAGCAAGTGCGGCCTCGTAAACTTTCTTGGTGTATCGTTCGATGCACCAGACGCTGATAGCACTGTGCACGACTGGGCGTATGCTCCACTTGACTATTATTATAACAAATAAATAATTGTATATAAATTATATATGACATTTATTTGTATGGTATGTTTTTTGTTAACATATAAATTAGTTTTTTTTAACTAGATTAAGAGTTATTTTTGTGTTATAAAGCAATTAACCAAAAATTTACGTTTTCTCGAATAGTTATATAATTAAATTTTGGTTGATACTTTACTGGATATTATATATATAGTATAAGAACTGATTGAGATACGTTAATTTTTCTGACTAAATCTTTGATCATAGGTACAATTGAATCAATGTTTCTAAATTTCAAAACATTGGATATTTAATAGGTATAACAATTGTCTCAAACATATTTTGTTCGATTTAAATTGGAAGAATTTTAATGACCTTTTTGTAAATAGCCGCTTGGTCATCTTTGGAAGAGACAAATATAATCATTGAAAAATTAAGGTAGATAAGGATTGGGTACTCTTATTTCAATTATTACACCAAAATCAGAATTTACAATCGGTTCAACGTGGTTCTAACCAGTGGACATTAATTATGCTGCAACCACTTATAAAGTAGGTATAGGTAACTGTTACAAGAACTCATATTACCAGATATACCTATATAGGTATAGGTCCACAGGTAAATAATGTCTACAAATTTCGTTATTATGCTTTATATATCTACATATACACTTAAATATATAAATATTTTTTTATATTATTCAAAAAACAAAACTAATAACTATATATTCATGAATGAGATACACAAAATATTCTATAATATTAAAAATGTTACAATTATAATTTTAATAAGCAAAAATAAGCTTACATATATACAAATTTGTTCAATCTGTAACATTGGTCATCTAAAACAAATGTTCACATTTTCTGAGCACCAAAATTTCAATACATTTTGGGAGGAACTCGGAAGCTGCCAATCACAGGTGATCATTTGGCCGCCATCTTGTTTCCCCCACCACCGCTCACATTGAGATGAACGTCCAGTCACATTCATCCCGTACATTGTGACGTACGTGCCTAAATTGTTACAACAATTCTCCTTGTAATTTTTTACTAGAAAAAAAATGTGTTTTTTTTATTTTCTTTGTTAATAGAATAGAAGATAGAAATAAACAAGTAAGAAAACTTTATTATGATTTAACTTAATTTACCTAAACCCATAATTTTATGATTATTAGTTTTAGTTTATTAATGTTCACTTAAGAAAAATTATATTCAATATTATTATTTTTTATTATTTTTTTCTATATAGACATGAAGGTACCAGTAAAGTTTTGTTTTTTGGTGATTTTTTTAAAGACTTGAGGTCATTTTTTATATTCGTTTTCATTCAAATAACAACTGTTGTAATTTGTTTGCCTGACTATTGTTATGTCCTTTCAAGATATTTCTTGACAGGCTCAATAAAACACATCTAGAAACTTATCTTTTATATAACTAGGTACAATCAAATGTTGTGCATATAAATTTAGGTATAGGATATACCTACCTATTAACTGATTAGTCACAAGATATACCTAATATGACTTTGATCCAGATAATTATTTCTTTGAGTCTTCTTCTTCTACCTGGCAATTTCCCAACTTTAGCCAGGGTCTGCCAGGGTCTGTAAATAGTTTTGACTAATTGTTTTTAGGTCCGACCGCCTGCCTGACATCAACCCTCTTTTTTTAGGAATGCAGTAGACAGTGATGTCTAAATACTTAGAAAGTACATAGGACTCGGAAAAATCACATTGGTACTTGCCAGGAGATTCCAGCCATGAGAATACTCTTAACCACTAGGCCACCACTGACTTAATTAATGTTTTACTTTGTTTCTGTATAATTAAAAAAGGGACCAAAAAAAATTCAGTAGGTATTTGTTTTTTATATATTTAGGAATATATAATTATTTTAAAGAGTAACCGCGGAAAGTATGACTTGCATTCTTTTATCTGCTATCAATTGAATTAAAATTCTTTTTATACTAAATCTCAAATATCTGAATACAACACTTCAAAGACAATGCATACACGCAGATTCTGTATGAAAAGATGCCTTACTATGTAGTTAGACTCAGGTCAACCATTGGATCATTTCTAGTGCCATAGAACAAACAGAAAAAATTTACTGAAAAAATGGTGGTCAATATGATCTTATCAAATGTTTGATGGCTGTTAAGGAATAATTACAAGTTTTGTAACTGGCTAGTGGCTTTGGATAAAAATAAAAACTTAATGAATATAAAAGTTTTCATATACCCAATTATTTTTGACACTGAAGCAATTTTGAACTAATACTTGGATATAATTAGTGTATGATGAAAAATCCATTGCCATAAGCGGAATTCAAACCAGCGGTATCCAAAATATAGCAACCCAGTTATGTACTCGCCGTATTTTCAACGTCTACCCAACACACCCAATTATCGCTGAAATGATTCAATGATGAAAACAAGGAAACAGTTATTACTATAACAGATTTGATTTTATAATATAAGAGAAACGAATAAATGTAGAGAACACAGTTATTGAAGAGAGACAATAAGTGTTATGATCACAAAAGAGGAAAAAAATGTTATATAATATTTCTGAGATATTAACTTCATTAACAGCTCATTATTGAAAATTGAACACTAAATAGTTCAACTTTCAATAGTAATACAAATATGAACCACATATTATAATGTAATAAAATATGAAAAAAATAAACCAAGTAGAGCAGCGTTCATGCGAGCGCATAATACATTTTGTTCGCCACATTCCTGAGTACGTTTGAAGCATACCCTAAACAGCTGATTTCACTGATATAGTCTCATCTCCTTTATCGTTCAGTAAAACACGCAATAAAACAGAGAGAACTATAGTTTATGTGCTCTCTCCTGAGTCGCGAGGACGGCGTGCGTAACCTACATGCGGCCATTTCGAGATTTACGATCTGGGAATTGTGAGTTGGAAAGGGATGAAAATATTACAGTCTCTGCCGACGGTTAACTTTAATGTAACGGGCCTGCTGATACTCCGAGGGCAAGGTTCCCGCAGTATATGGAAAATAAACAGATATTATTATAGCGAATGATTATCTAGGCAGTATTAGGACTGAATCTAGATTTCGACAAACAAATCGACAGTTAAGTTTCGATGTACTATAAGTGATACTCCTATAAAAGTTTATAATTTTAGCAAGGTTTATCTAAAACTTTACAGTATACCTGCACTTTGAGTCGCATACTAGCTCATTTCGTTGCATTTGTGTGTGTAAATTAAACTATTCGCTTGGGACTGTCGGACGTATAGCTTTCCCTTTTGTTTATTAGAATTATGAGTGTGTTAGAGTGAGAAGTCGTAAATCGCTGAATACGACCCGAAGTGACATGTTAATGGGCGGGGAATAAACGCCGCGGAGTGGGAACGCGGCAGTTGAGAGCATGGCGCCGGTAAAGCGGCAATGCTATTGAATTTATTAATAAAATAATAAAATTAAAAATTAATTTCTATCATTCATTAAAATAATATTAAAAAATTTGAAAAATTTAGTTCCCTTATCTGTGTTTAAATATTACCTTTATCTTATCAACATGAGTATAAACATGGTTACTTATCGAAATTACTTACATTACTAAATAGTTGATTAGCAAAAGGAAGTAATAAAGGAGAGCTATTATGAGTATTATAGAGGTTGTTATCTGAACATCTAACGGCAGCAATTGCCACGTAATTAACAACAGTCGTTATAAAATCCACTGACGCATTAATTCCTACAGGTGGCTTTAGTATGAAACGATATTCAAGATCGGAGTACAATTCTATTATATCGAAAATAATATTATATAATCAATATTATTATTATATATATCATATAGAAAAAATATTTTTTAATATATACAAAACAAATTCTAAATAAATTCAAACGTAAATCAATCTATTTATTATATGCAGAATCCAAATGTAATTTTCTCGAAGTTCACTAATGTGTTTACATTCAATCATATATATCGTTGTAACATAATTTAAATATTATTTTTAGTTCATCATATTATGTGTACAGTCATGGCTTAACATCCAAAGTATTGTATCATAAAACAATGTGTTAATGATGTTAATATTCATATTAGTATACTCAATGTGTTCTGAACCTGTAAAATAATTGACACTTACACTTCAAGTCACGGCGCGTACGCATTCCCCCGATGGAAAGGGATCTATAGATCAGAATGATCTATACATAACTATAGATCGATTGACCTATACATCGATGACAAACAAACTAACTGTTCGATAAAGAAAAATGTATCAATTTATTTATTAGTAATGTTTGCTCTCTCTAATAAAGTTATAATATTTTATATGTAGGTAAAATAATATAGTTAAATAAATATATTTCACATCAAATAAAAGACACCCATAAATTTGTACATCCTTTCCAAAGAGACTTATTCAAACAAAAATGTCGCGTATGAAAATTTTTATACAACACTAAAAGATATATTACCTTAACTTCATACAATTTATCACAAGACTATTAAAATCGAAGAACCTTATCATAATACCCTGAGGATATTGCAAGCTAAACTGGAATTAAAATATTTATATGGTTCGAACAAGTATTAATTCATATTTATAATAAATTATTCAATATTAATGTTTCATATATTAATAATTAATTTCATAGTAGATATTATGATTATAACTCATCGGACATAACAGTAACATCGTTAAAAGAGAATTCGTACCACAAAAGTTTCATTCGTTAACAAAAGAAAAACTCGGCTCCATGTAAGCTTTGCATCGCCATTTATCTTTTTCCACAAAAGCCGGACATTATTGTTCGGTCCAAACACTCCTAAATCTTCGGAAAAGTAATATATTTTCGTTTTGCCCAGTGCGGTGTACGGTACATAGACGCCAGTCGGTTTGCTTCGGTACTTTTCTGTATCTACTAATGTTTTATACATCGCTCGTTCTGTTTGTAACGCTTCACGTCACTCCGCAAGACCGCGCAATGGAAAACGGTACAAATTATTATCTTCTTAAGTCGTATTTTCTGAAATCTATGCATCCGCGTTTAGGACCGTTTTAAGCTAACATTGCGATTGATGTGAGCGTATGTCACGGTACAGGGACAGTGTTGTACGTAATCTAAATTCGCAATAAAAATTGCACTTTATATACATATGATAAGGTCGGTTTTAGTATCAGTATATAAAGTATCATAAATCTTTATTGTTTTGTATGTTGTACCAAATTGTTCGTGTATAGACAAACTTACAAATGTGGATGAATGTAAGCAAAGTTAAGATGATGTTAGAAATGGTTAAATTTGTCATCCCTTTATAAGATTACGAAAACAATAAACAACATTTCCTGAAATATTAAAAAAACAGTAAAAGTTTATTATATATGTAGGTAGGTACATGTATAATTCAGTGGGCTTTATTAATATAAAATATTAGGCTTCATTCTCTAGAAGTATGTTTTTCTTGTGAATATGAGTATAACTTAAAAAAATGAGTAAAAAAACTAATAAGAATTAAGTATCAACATCGTCTGTAGACACGAGCCCGTATCGCCTACTTGGAAATAGTTCTTTCTGGGTATTAGGTAATGGAGGCGCGTAATTTGAGAATAAGCCCCGTAAAGCAGCGTCAAAATATGTAAAGATTTTTATCTTTTCCGTAAAATGGCTTGGGAAAAAACATAAAGAAGGTGGTGTCACCTGATCCCGACAGACGAGATTTATGGACCCCAGTGTGTCCGCGGCCTTAGGACGAGCCACGGAGTTATGATGCACGGAAATAATTTACCTACATGTGACAAGAAATAAAAGTAGGGCCGGGATAATGATCACGCGGTTACTGTGGTTTTTTTGACATTTCCAGTTTTTGATATTTCGTTGTTTTTTTTTTTTTATTTGTTGCGTTCCGTTGATTCATTGTGATGTATTTGGCATTTTAAAAACACATAAAACATTTTTTTCATATAATTTACGAGATCTTTCGTTGCATTCTAACACGTGTTCATATTTTCTTGGAAGCTCAATTCGTAATTCTAGGTCGATAGGTTATGATATGTAAATATAAAAATCTTTGAATAGATAATTCCTTAACGTTTTGGTACGAAAAAAAAAACTTAAATTTTATTTTATTTTTATTGCAATAAAATAAAAGCAATTTAAATATAATCTCATTACAAGCTAAAGACATTTGTAAGGAGTGGGAAAAAATGATCGGACCTACAAAGTTATTCTAAAGCATGAGATCTCCCCGGACAGAAGGTGGTATATAATAATTTAAAGCAAACCAAAATAGACTTTAAGGAAATGAGGATTAAATGTATTTTCTCCTGTTGCCAGATTGAAGATACGTCAGCTTAGAAGAAGATAAAGGAGCTCAAGTAAAGTGGAAGAAGTCCCTGAGAAAATTGGCACAAGTGGTTTTAGCTACGTCGGGGGGATAGGGGGTGAAATGGGAAGCAAAGGAGAAAATATTAAACGTAGACGTGCCTCACATTGTATCTTACCTACAATATATGATATTTTCAATAATAAAAAAATTAAACAAGTAAATACATCTCAAAGTACCTACTAAGTTTTTTGATAGTATAAATTTCGATAAAATTATTTTAATTGAATTTAAATTTCAAATTTGCAATTATAATATGATCTACAATTCTATTTATATTGAAGTAATAGATAACTCAAACCAGTTCGGTCTGCATAACCTATAGAGCTTACATGTAAATAGGTATATTTTCTAATATATTTTATATGTCATATCTAATTAATAATCTATGCCCTCATAGCATAGGGGTGGTCGTCGAATGTTCGCCCAAAGATAGGACTCGCTACAAGATGTATTGCTGCTTACGAAAAATTTTCAACAGTAGCGTCTATCGGATTGGCCTCGAACGGAAAATAAGAGGGGACATTCGCAAATAAATGAACGCTGTAAATTTCCCTATGACAATATACAGGTCAGCGAAGATAGTATCCATGATAGCTGTTATTAATGTAAGAAAAACAGTAAAATCACGATCCCATATAAAACTGTGTATTGATTGGATAACTTTCTGTTTGAATGACGCGATTTTGAGACGTTTCACTGTATTTAAGTCGTGTGTGAATTATATATCATTTATATTACGCTGAATAAGTGTCATGGATACTTTTATTTTATTAGGATTTTCCGTAATAAAATTTCACGAGCCTTGTTATATACTAAAATCACGTTTATTCTCGAAATTATTGAGGATAAAGGATATAAGTAGGTCTATTCTAACAAGTAATAAAGACAAACTAAAAGTTTACCAACTAAAAATTATATAGATCAAAACGAGTGAGAGAAAAACAAAATTTTTAATTAACATTAATTTATTATATTAAGAACATAAAACTCTATATAAAAATCAGATAAAACATTCTGAGAAGCGAGTTCAATTAATAATCCAAATCACACGTACGGAGAGAAACCTTCGCGGATTTTTCTTCAAAATTTATACCCTCGTTGGGGGGGAGGTTCTCGTGGTGGGGAGGGGGGGGCAACTTCATTTCGCCCACGTCGTTTATCTTAAGGACCATAACTCAGAGAAGTCCCTGTCAACTTATTCTTCTTTCGCCTAAGCGTAAAATGGGAGCTTTTTACTGTATCAATGTGTTTTATTTATTGTTTAATTTATTTTAAAATTTATATTAAATTTATATATATCTTTCCTTTTTGTATATAATATTAACTGAATATAAATATTATAACTTTGGTTTTGTATTTTATGATGTAGAAGGTGTACGGTGGTAATACTTTTACTTATAGATATTATGAAGCATTTCACGTTTTATTGACATTGATAGGTATGTGTTAACCAAGTTATCCTAATGTATAGAAAAAACTGACCTAATTGTTTAGTTTTTGTAAATCTAAAACCATCTTTCCTATTATAATTCATTCAGTAACCGAATATAATGGCGATATGATATTGGGTAGGACGTTATCTATCGTCTGCCAGTCTGCGGCTCATAAATAACGGGCATTCATTACTCCCCCACAGACGTTAGGAAAGTATTTAATACAAAAATCACTATTATACTTGTAAGTGGAAGCGGCCATTATGCGGCAGGACTAAGGAACCGCTGTTATATTTGAAGGATAGCCAATGTTTCCGCAATCACATTTTCTTATCATACAGATAAATAGACTTTAATGTTATTAAAATAAACAATTATAAAACGGTAAGTATAACTATCCCGATTTAATAATTTAATTTTCGAGTTCAGCACAGTCAACATCAGGCGCTAATGACTAACTCACAAGATCGCCCACGTCACGCTCACACCATCCTTAAGCTACGTACATACGTACAACCAATACGTCATTTGACGCAATAACGGTCAGACAATAAATATCGCTTTGCGCAGACAACACGCGTAAAGTAATATATGAAGTTAAGAATAAATAGGCAATTTAACCCGGGACGCACGTACGCCCGAATATTGTCGAATATTGCCGACGGGAGACGAATTTCCATATCCTATCGCGATTCGTGGGGTGCTTTTATGGGGTAAAAATTAAGTCGCGACGGTTAAGTGTTGACTTTCAATTGGTTAGTTCTTTGAGAGATAACTCACATCTAAGATTGATACAATATATAACAAATAGATTAGGATCTTAAGTACTTTTTGGTTACAATTAAACTATAATTCGACGATCTATTTTGACATATTGTGCTACATACAAAACTTAAAATAGAAATAATATAAGTGATAATGATAAAAAAAAAGTAAATTAATATTTAATATCATCTTACCCTTCATAGTTTAAAGTACATTTAAGTGGATGAGACATTTTTATGTGATGACACCAGTGTTTATCATTACCATACTTAAAGAGTCACAGATGTTTTGCTTTGTTGTAATTTAAAATTGTCATTAAAATATTGGAAATACTGACCATATTCTTATATTATTTTGATGCTCTAGGTGGAAATATATTAAAAATTCATATAAAAGTTCTAAATTGTAAATGTTTATTTTAAACTACTATACTTAAATTGTTATGGTCTGAAAAATAATTTGGTTATTAATTAATTCTCTAGGCTTATGAAAGAAATCGCATTGTTAATTTAAAAAAATAAAAACAATACATGAAAACCAACTAAACAAAATATAAACTAGAAAAATTAAAATAAATTAAAAATTTAAAACAAGATATAAAGTTCAATAAAATCTGTTTGAATGAAGCATGTAAGACATCATTTATAACTATACAATTATTAATCAAATTCGGCTTCATGTACCTAACGCGGGGGAGCACAGCGAAATGTGGCTTTAAAAATTTGGAACACAATCCAGCTATTTGTCTTACGAACGTCTCTTATAAATCAAGGAATAAAGCAGCCAACAATGCTTTATGGAGGAAAAAAAGGAGCTACATAAGACGGAGAAATAGCATACAGATCTTGCACATACATTATGAATGTTAGTGTTGCGTAAGATAACTTCAACTTGGAGATACGTTACGAAACTGGGCGTTTGTAACGCGGCTTTAAATTCATTATTCTGACAATATATATAAGAACTTAATTTTTACATGACGTTCTCAAAGCAATGAAACATCGCACTATTGTCATAAAAAAAATTACAAAAGTAGAAAAAATGTAAATACAAACCTTTAATTAAAACTCCAAAATTCACATTACAACTAATAGTCAATCACTTCACTGATAATTCACATAAAACTTTTGTTTTAAATATTTAATTTAGTTTAAAATAATCGCGTGTTTATTGTTTATTTTATAAGTTCAGATATAAAAAGGGTTGAACTGCTCAGTCTAAGATCATCTTTCGAAATGAGGTTCTTAAACAAATTACTGCTAAATTATCTCGCGTACACAGACGTAGGCATTTCGATCAATTAATGCCCTTTACAATGCCAGGTTAGCATGTGTTCTTGAAGGACGACAAAAAAGTTACAATTCGTCGAATACCGAATTACATTCTAAAGGTATGCGCATTTAGTAACAGAGCAGAAATAAAATGAAAATGTTATATATATTTAAGTTTCAAAGTAGCTAGAACATTATCTTATACTATAATGAGTTATGTTAATTAACATTCAAAGCATATGTTACAATTTTTTACATTTTGTACTAAGCCAGTTATTTTTATGATCCTAAGTAATGATAGTAATTTTTAAATGAAATTGCACTAAATTAAATGTAACCTTATTGCTTTAATATTTACAAACAGACTTAAGGCTATTTTATTTATTTTTTATAGGTACACAGTTGTACCTACACTGCATTAAAAATATACCTACTTCTTTACTACTACTATCTATAGGTAGAGTGAAGTATACTGTTGTTTAAAATATTATCACCGTGGTTTAATTTTTTATTATAAAACGGTTAATATAAACAATTAAGAATTAAAAGTCTAAACCTAGGTTTTGTCTTTCGTAATATCTTTTTTTTTCGCTTTTATCTTTGTAATTTTTCTAATACTAAATCTTCAAAACTTTGAGTACTAAAGTAATGTTTTGTAACTAATATTTATATAGATACAGAATTTAAATATTTAATAAAAATAACAATGTTTTCCCAAACGTTCAAAGTGTTTTTAATTCATACTTGTTTTGATGACATTGGATAGTATATAAAAATATTTCGTAGCCATTAAAAAATATATAAGTGAATCATAGTTTAATTCATATTGCTCTACTTTAACATACATTGGTAGATATGTATACAACAAATACAATCGAATCTATAGACAATAGCCAAAAATCCATATTCGGCGGCCATTTTAATATTCAACGTCATTATTTAACGCGCGTCACATCCGTCCACACTAGCGAAGCACTCGCAGAGTTATAACCGTGTAACGCACTATATCACGCCGAATTTACGACAACCTGAATATGATAGATTTTCAATCCGGCCCCCATAATGTACAACGAAAAACGTTCCGCTGTCAAAATAGAGATATAAATAAACTTGTGACAACCAATTAATAACTCGTAAAGTGTCAGTGTTGAAGACGATAAAAACTACGGATCGGATAGAAGGGGCAGAAAAAGGCGGTCACAATAGCGAAATGAGAAGAGAAACGACTCTAAAAAGGTTGATATCACCCATAAATTTAGATCGGCTCCAAAACAAATCGCCCTTATTCATTACATGTATGACATATTGCTGATAAAAAATATATAATGCTCTCGAAACGGCACAAAAGGATAGAATTCGTTGTAAAATTTTACTCAGCCATAAAAACAATCTCGGTAAAGAGAGAAATTCGGCTCATTAGTCACGTACGTCACGGGATGAGTAAGGAATTGAAATGTGGAACTGTTTGTTAATACATTGTTTGGCGTATTAAAAAACTGTTCCGACTTTATTTTTAATGTAGCTTCACAATCACACGTAATTGGCGTTTATAGAATACATATTGAATTGAACTGATTCATGCTTATTGACAGACAATGTTTGATAGAATTATTGATTTAATGGTTCAGAAAAATAATTATATGTTTTGAATTCATTTAAGCAGAAAAAAAAGATATTTCATTAAAACTATTTATAACACAAAGAATTTTGTATATTCTTTTGAGATTGAATTATTTCAGTTGTTAAGTTAATTGTTCAAATATTTATAATACTTATATTCAACATTGGACTAATAAAAGATATCAATAATTACGTTCTCTAAAGAAAATCTCAAAATTACAACCTAATTTTTGTTTCTATAAGTCTCCTATAACAATGAATGATCCTACAACTAGGTATTAAATGTGTCAGTAGTACTATTGAACATCAACGCAAGAAGACACAGCTGGCATGGCATGGCTAAGAACTTCTTAGACGAGTAGGTATAGTATTAATTACACTTAAAGATAAACTGTTTATAATGACAGCTACAATGCAAGGTATTCGTCTTGAGTTGAGTTCAATACATTTAAACGAATATTTAAAGTAGAATGTCCTGAATTTTTTTGATATATATTATGTATATTTCAATCATATTTGATGATAACTTCTGACGCCCACTTGAAAGCATTTACCCCGTATATTCGTACATAAAAAATAATCAAAGCTTGCTGTAAATTTAGAGTAAAGCCGTGGCTTAATGGAATGGTTCTTTGAACGGCTGAATTAATGACGTTGAAATGTGTGATTCGAGATCGAGATGCACAAAAAGGGGATAAAACAACAAAATGATATATACGTCCATCAAAATGAATAATCGAGCGTTTATTTTACTAACAACCAACGCTTACATAATACGATGTCGAAAACGTTTGAACACAATTTGATACCTGATATAATTGTAATACAAGTAAATATAGTCTCACAGAATAATACAACTTATTTTTAAAACTAAATGATTTAAAAATAGTTTTATTTCCACTCGACTAGCTTCAATCAACATATACTCAAGATTTTTCTAAATAATAAATGTAGACACAGTACGTTGAAATAATTCAAATAAGTTTAAATGGAGTATGTAAAGAATTTATTATCCTACAATCTTATTTAACTACCACAAATCACGGCGCTACTTTGAATCTAATTGAAAATACATTACGCAAC